TCTATGTTTCTCAACATAAAATTAGTAATTTAGACTCTTACATGCCCTTTATTATATTTAATATAATTATGACGAGAGAGAGAGGATGACACCAATATAATTTTATTTATTAATTTTACTTTATTAATTTAAAAAGTATTATAATTTTACTTTATTAATTTAAAAAGTATAGCCCGTCGACATTTTTGTAGGATTTTCGACTTCAAATTATCTCAGATACACGTTCTAGAAGATAATGCGGTAGTTGCAGGACACTTTGTATGTATATATAATCGCCACACATAAACATATATGTCATTGACATGCGTGAGAAAACGGCATTTCGAGCCGTCTTACACTCAGATCAAGAATATAGCCAGATACTGAGCGCACACGTATATACATGACTATCATGCTGCCCTATGCATGTAGACAGATTTCATTGTGTGGAGGGTAAGGAGCGAACCGTCGCGTTGCGGACCGCCGCGACGCGCCGCGCAGTCGAAAACAGCGATTTTCATTTTGTTTAAACAATTGAAGTACAACAAAACAGTTTCTACTCTCAGCTCAGTACGGAGCACAAGGTCCAGACGTCGTGAGACCATTCGTTCGTGAGACGTGGTAGTGGCAATACAGTTGGCGAGATGGAGAACAGATCCACACGAAAATGTAAGTAACGTACATTTGACTAATTTATTATAACAATTTTAGAAGCCTATTCTGTAACTCTTAACGACTGTAATATAAATATTGAACTTTTATAATCGACGAATATGCAATTAGAATTTACACACTATAATGAAGACGGTATGTAAATTTTAATAATATATCCGTTGGAAGAAAATTGTAAGCTGCATTCCGTTGTTCATTGCGAGTGGAAAATCTGTAATATACGTAACATCAACTACAGATTTTCAATCCTCGCAGTAAAAAACGGACCGCAGCCATAATTGATTAATAACATAATTTTTGAAATATATTTATATTTGAAATATATTTATATTTATATTCATTTCAGATAAAAGTGAAGAAGGCACGCGCGCTACGCAAAAGTCGTTCCTGTCACCACCTGAGAAGGTGGTGACAAGGAAAGTGGCCAAGGAGCTGCTACTGACGTCGTCGCGTCAGGTTTCGGCAACCTCTACAAGACCAGCGGCGACGTCAGTAGCTCAAGCAACGTCGTCATCACCAACGGCAGCAACGACGTCGTCATTAGTGGAAG